AGTTAGGTGAATTTCCAGTTATTTTTGGAAAGTCCATGGAGTAATCTTTCCAACGCCGCCGAGTTTGCTCGATTTCAAGTTAGTATGAGTGAGTTATGCCCTTTGGAAGTTGGGCTGTTGGTATAGGGCAGTTTAGTCCGAATTTGTAAGGGTATTTTGGTCTTTTCCCTAACCATTTCTTTTGGTTATATTAAGGGTCTAGAATGATTTTGATTCAGTTTTTCCCTTTTAAAAGTTAGAGTTAGGTTTGTGAGTGAAGAGAGAAAGAAGAGGAGAAAGTGAAGAAGAAGCAAAGTTCGTCAAGATCGTCGTGAATTTCGTCGGGGGTGATCCCTATTAAGGTATGTGAGATCATAGTGTTGGGTTGGTTCATTCCCCAACACGCCATACTTGTTTTAATTTCGAGAAAAGATTGGTTGTGGTTGTTGAATTCTTGTGGTTTTGTTGTTGAAGTTTCTTGTTGGTTTGGTACGTGTTTCCGGGTATGATTTCGAGTTGAAGCTATTGTAGATTAAGGGTTTTAATGATTCTAAGTGTTTGGGGAAAGAACCTTTGTTGTTGAGAGCGTTTAGAGTTGGAGAAACTAAGGAAGCAAGTCGGTTTTCAGGCAAAAAAGGTGGGGCATCGTGCCATCCAGCGCACCCCAATAGGGGTTCTGAAGTTCCCCCCTTGGGGCGGCGCGCCATGCAGAGCGCTGCAGCTGCCCCTCTGATACTTGAGGGCTGGTGCCCTGCGCCTCTCAGAGCGCCAAGGACGCCAGTTCTCCTCATTCCTTCCCCACCTTTTCATTCATGTTCCTCGGTAATGTACCTATGTTTGCTAGTTGATTTCAACACTCTAAGGTACATCTAAACATCACGAACTCATCATTAAACATGAGATCATTACCGTTGAATCCGTAATCCAATTCGAGGAAAGTTAGGATCAAAGTCAAGTGAAGTTAGAGTCAAGTCTAGAAGTTAAGAAGCAAGTCAAAGCAAGTCTTTAATGTTTTTCAAGAGTCTTTATTGAACGTTTTAACTTCGTTTTAAGGCACAAGTTTCAAGTTAAGCCAAGAGTATATAGTTGAGTTCAATTCTCAAAAGTTATTAGGGAACTAAGTATTCCTAAAGAATTTTATAAATGTTTTTACAGTTGAGTAAGAAAGGAACTATGTTGTTCCAAGAGAGCCTTTGGGCTAAGCTTTGAGCAATTATCTCAAACTAAAGAAAGATGTGTTTAAAACACTTATGAGCTAACGTATATTTGGGAGTAGTATTGAGCACTGAATTGGGCACGCGAGTTCATATTAACTCAACTTTCCATAAGAACCATGTAGCCAACATGGGATCTAACGGGTCATTCTTTTTAGATGATCACGTAAGTTAAGCTAGTGGATCCACTAAGTTAAGTAAGGTCCTATATCAAGACAAGGTATAGGATGGTCCTTGGGCAACGTGAGGTAAAACGTTGTATCATCACTAGGGCTCATAGTGGTGGTTTTCGGTTAAAAAATCTCCCACTAACGTTATATTACTTTTATATAAGTAGAGTTGTGTTTGTTGTTGGTTTTTTCTTAACGAACTAAGTTGTTTACGGTGTTTTACAAGCTTTATATATGTTGTATGTGTCTTATTGCTTTATATTGA